CTGCAAAGAATGAACCATTCCCCATAATCGGGGAAGATTCATTCTCTTTTCGAACAAACTCACTGACAGTGTTCGAAAAGAGAATGAATCTTCCCCGATTATGGGGATGGTTCATTCTCTGCGGAATGTTTGAGGGGAGGAGGGGGGGGGGGGCACACACACACACACACAATGCTGCTAAAATTTTTACTATTTAACGGAGGTAGACAAAATTTAACCTCCTACGAGTTAGAGAATATTTTAGTCTTTATATTGAAGCTAATATAAATTCTGACAAGGCACTTTTCCTACGGGAAGCGATTGCAAAATTTTCCTAGTTTAAAGGAGATAGGTTATATTTTGACAGGTGACGATTTTAGCGATCCACTCTATATAGAGGAGATTTTGTCAAAAATCTACCTTTCCTTGGGCACTTGTTTAGAGGTGGACTCAGGCTTAGTTAAGTAGAACGATTTTTGAGCGAGATCGTGATATGGAGATTACTCTCCACGGACTTATAGATTTAGCTCGGGGATTGGTTTGTCTTGTGTTACAGGTCCTCTTGATCGCTTGATTCAGGACTTGAGTTAGATTCAACTTGATCCCACGAGGATCATCTCCTGTTATCACTGATAACATGTCAGTTGCCGATTCGCCAGCTTACGATTCAACTCCAATTCACTCTCGCCAACTCAACCTAAAGGCTTTAGCCCTGTGGTTTGAACTGTTTTGTTGATTTTTTACCCGAACTTTATTGAATAGTCATTTAATGAAGATACTGAGTATTTTATTTTGAGAGTTGCACAAAGAGTAAAGCTTGCATGACTAAAGTGAGGGGTGTGAGCGCAGAGAATGATTGAAGTTGACCCCGTGTAGTGCATGAACTTTTGGTTGAATCTTTGATGTGATTGCAAATATATTTGGTGATTCGGACTTGGGATTTGACTGTCTGCCATCTCATACATATATATGGCTGAGAGGAGTCTCACTGGGATTGTGAGAAGCAGGGTTGTTGAGCCCCGGCCCCGGGGCCCCGGCGGGGTTCCGGGGGTGGGC